GCTTGCGGGGAGGGCAGGCTATAAATGCAAAAAATGAAATAAATAAATAAGAAGAAGAAGAAGAAGAGAAGAGATTGGATTTATACCCTGCCCTTCACTACCCAAAGGTGTCTCAGAGCGGCTTCCAAACTCCTTTCCCTTCCCCTCCCCACAACAGACACCCTGTGAGGTGGGTGGGGCTGAGAGAACTCTGACACAAACTGCTCTTTTTCAAAGACAGCTGTGCCAGAGCTTGTGACTGACCCAAGGTCACACCAGCAGGTGCAAGTGGAGGAGTGGGGAATCAAACCCGGTGCTCCCAGATTAGAGTACGCACACTTAACCACTACACCAGACACTACAAAGAAGGATTTATTCCCCACCCTTCACTACCCGAAAGAGTCCCAGAGCATCTTACAAATTCCTTTCCCTTCCCCTCCCAACAGCAGACACCCTGTGAGGTAGGCGGGGCTGAGAGAGCTCTCTCGAGAACTGCCCTTGAGAGCACAGCTCTGAAAGAACTTGTAACTTGTAGGTCACACCAGTGGCTGCATGTGGAGGCGTGGGGAATCAAACCCAGCTCTTCCAGATTAGAGTCCGCCGCTCCTAACCACTACACCAAATTGAAGGTTTTAAATTGAAGATGAACTCTCCGGAAAATATCACATATGGAGATGAGGCTGCTCTTGAAACTCTATTACATTCAGAGGACTCTTAAAACACATAAAGCCCTGGCCACGGGACGATGACAAGGCAAAGCCAAGCCGCAGAGCGGAACTGGGGATGAGGTGGATTCCATGTTTTATTCTGTGTTATGCTGTTTTTCTCTGTTTTGGCACTCGTGCCTCGCTGTTAGCCGCCCTGAGTCTTTGGGGAGGGCGGGATATAAATCCAAAAATAAATAAAATAAATGAAACAGGTAAACCGACGCTGCTCCGGAGAGACAAGCAAATGAGACTGATAGGTAGAAATGAAAGTTTTCTAAGCCGTTGGACTGAGGGTCGGAGGGCCTTCCTAGCAGGTATGAGCACAGAGGAACAACCTAGTTTTTGGCAACCTAATAAACTGGGGTGGTGAGGGGGGGGGAGAGATGGGGAGGGTTCCTCTGCCTGCCCCATGACCCCGGCTTTATTTGGGAAGATCAGCCAGTTTGTTCTAAAGTTTTGTGTATGGCTTCCGGAGGGGTGGTAGTGGTCAGAGCTGGCTTCTGTGAGAGTTCAGCCGGATGCAATGCATTTGGTCTCTCCAAGCAGGTTACTTGTGAAATAAATTTAGAACAATAATCATAATATGTATCCAATAACATGTATATCATTCATGTTATAGTTACAAAACTCTCAATTATTCTATTTATTTATTTATTCAGTTCATAACCTGCCCTATCCCACAGGTGAGCTCAGATTTGGAAACAAATATGTATTTAATAGGAGCTGCGGTGGCTCAAGTGGTTAAGACGCTGAGCTGCAGGCTGTGGAAGGTCGGTCGTTCAGCAGTTTGAGACCCGAGTGCGCTGCATGACGGAGTGAGCTCCCGTCTCTAGTTCCAGCTCCTGCCAACCTAGCAGTTCGAAAGCAAGAAATTGCAAGTAGATAAATAGGTACCACTTTGGTGGGAAGGTAACAGCGTTCCGTGCGCCTTGGTGTTTAGTCATGCCGGCCACATGACCACGGAAACGTCTTCGGACAGCGCTGGCTCTTCGGCTTGGAAACGGAGATGAGCACCGCAACCCTAGAGTCGGACTCGACCGGGTTTCGAGCAAGGGAACCTATAGATATATAGATATGTGTCTGTATATGTGTTTTATATGTGTGTGTATATAAAGATACGTGTCTTTGTATGTATACAGATATAACGTGCCTTTATGTGTGTGTGTGTGTATATATATATATATATAATGTTTTTGTATATATGTCTTTATATATACAAAAGATATAACGTTTCTTTATATATATATATATATGTACATATATACATATATACATATACATATATACATACACACACACATATAAAGATATGTCTTCATGTGTGTATAAAGATATCAGTCTTTGTCCATGTGTCTTTATAAATGGTGTTATGTACTGACAAAGGACCACACACGTGGTCAAGCGCTATCTATCTATCTATCTATCTATCTATCTATCATCTATATAGATATATAGATATGTGTATGTATATGTGTTTTATATATATGTGTGTGTGTGTATAAGGTGTCTTTGTATATCTGTCTTTATATATAAAGATATAATGTGTCTTTGTATGTATGTGTGTATATATGTATATATATATAGATAGATAGATAGATGATAGATATATATAGATATAGATGATAGATAGATAGATAGATAGATAGATAGATAGATAGATAGATAGGTCTTTGTGTGTGTATAAAGATATGAGTCTTTGTCCATGTGTCTTTATACATGGTGTTATGTACTAACAAAGGACCACACACCTGGTCAAGCGCTCTGGCTATTTTTGTAGCAGGAACTCCTTTGCATATTAGGCCACACACCCCTAATGTAGCCAATCCTCCAAGAGCTTACAGAGCTCTTCTCACAGGGGCTACTGTAAGCTCTTGGAGGATGGGCTACATTAGGGGTGTGTCGCCTAATATGCAGAGGAATTCCTGCTACAAAAAGAGCCCTCTATCTGTCTGTCTGTCTGTCTGTCTATCCAGCTATATAGATATAGCTATATAAATATGTGTCTGTATATGTGTTTTATGTGTGTGTGTGTGTGTGTCTTTGTATTTGTGTCTTCATATACATAACCTTCTAAACCATCTATATTTATTACTCAAAATGTCAATTGACTAATAGGCGCCCACCCCTCATGAACGGCGGAACTGCCAGCCACTCCCCTTTGCCCTTCGGGGCTCCTCGCCAGCCCCGCCCACCTCCCCTCGCAGCCAACCCCCGACCGTTCCAGCCTCCCCGCGCCTTGCCCCGCCCACGGCGCGCCTTCGCCTCCTCGCGGGTCTTGAGCCCAGCGACGCGCCGTAGAACCGTTGCCATCGCGACAGCGGCGCCGCGGCCTGGTCTCGCGAAGCGGCGCTCTGAAGCCTGGGCTGTGGTAGCTTGAATCCCAAGAGCTGCGGGCTGAGGAAGGAGGCCGAGATGTCTTTCCGCGACCTCCGTAGTGAGTCGGGTGGCATTTATCTTTCCCGGGGGACGGGGGACGGCTGCGGCCCGGTTGGCGAACGGGGGTCTTGCGGGACTATGAGACGGGCTCCTCCTCGGCCCCGACCTTTTATTCACCCTGCGCGTCCCATTAACTCGCCCTCCCTCCCTCCTCCAGAGTGTCTGTGTGGGCTTTTTGTCTGTCTTTTGCAAAAACGACCCTGCGAGGTAGGCCGCGCGGTCTCATTGCACTTGCTGGCTGAAGTCTGAACCTGGCTGAGGTCCTCCCCAAAACGAAGGGTCGCCAGCTGTGGGGTGGGAAAGAACTGGAGGGTACAGATGCCACAGGGTCCATCCTCCAAAATAAGCCGTTTTCTGTTGTCTGGGGGGGTCAGCTGGAGTCGCGGGAGATCTCCAGGCCCCGCCTGGAGGTTGGCAACGCTAATGAAACTGGACGCAGGGCTCCGCCCCTGACTCGGGTTGCCAACCTCCTGGGTGGGTAGAAAGAATACAACTACTGCAAGTATGCAATTAGTGATTAGAATAATAATAGTCTTCCAAGTGAGTAAAGGTAAAGGTTCCCTTGCTCGAAAGCCAGTCGAATCCAACTCTAGGGTCATCTCCGTTTCCAAGCCGAAGAGCCAGCGCTGTCTGAAGACGTTTCCGTGGTCATGTGGCCGGCATGACTAAACACCGAGGCGCACGGAACGCTGTGACCTTCCCACCGAAGTGGTACCTATTTATCTACTTGCAATTTCTTGCTTTCAAACTGCTAGTTTGGCAGGAGCTGGAACTAGAGACAGGAGCTCACCCTGTCTTGCACCCGGGTCTTGAGCCGCTGAACTACCGACCTTCC